CAGAATAGCCCAGGCATGATAAACATTGTGGTGTTGTGTTTATGTACCTGTAACAGTTTGTGGTTGTTTGTCTTCTATGATGTTTTGTGATTGCTCCTTCTCAGGGTTCTGTATTTGTACAGCCCAGAGGCTGTCCTGTATCTCTTCAGAGAAGAAGCTTTGAGAGGGACCTTGGGTCAAAAGAGACATAGTGCTCTGAGTATATGGAGACTTAGCAGTTACTTTGCTCAAGACAACCTGGAACTGTAGGAGTAGGCCAGCAACTCGGCCAAGCAAAGCTCTTCCGCGCAATGTCAGATCGCTGTTATTGGAGGAGGCTGTTCACACCCCAGTGGTGGCATCCGTGTGTTAACTCTCCTGAAACCCCCTGAAAAAAATGCCCCTTCTCTCCTCCCTGCAAAAGGCCAGTTCCATCTTACCATGCCCGATACTTTCTTTGCTACTCCCTCCCACAAATTTCTCTGGCCAGTTTTAGGTAAGTCTCTGGAGAGGATCAGCATGTAAAAGCCTCTTTGGTGATTGCAAAACCATTTGTCTTATGTTACAGGTGAACTGGTATTGCCGGCCTAGAGGGGGTGGCCCACCTTGGAAAAGGTTAGGAAAGCAGTGCAACTGCTGATCGACGGGCAGCAGGTACCCAGAGTCACAAGCCAGAATGAAAACCACAATTCAGTGGGCTATGGAGGGACCCAGACATCAGAGCAGGAGCTGGGACCCCTCGGGGAAACTCGGCACACACAGCTGCCCATGCTGGCTGCAGGGAAGGTGAGGTGGGCCTGGGGCGTGCTGCCGATGGACATCTCTGACCTAGTAACAGTTACAAAGGCTAGGATGCTTACACTTCCAGTCACCTATATTATGTGCCAGCACAAAGACCTGAATAATTCTGGCTGCTTGTCTCAGGTGATGTATGTTGGAGTTTCTCAAAATTTCTAAGTACTCAAAGTGCTAGTTTTGTTAATTTTCTATTTCAGTGGAAAGGGAGTGGTCTAAGGATATCGCACTGAAGCCATCCCCTGGAATTTTTAGTGTACTTGATCCCGCTGTTGCTGGCTTTTTTTTTTTTTTTTTTTTACAGGATTCACTCATCATCTCGGTCGTCTTCTTAGCAAGTCACCGTTGTGATGCTTCATTTTAAGGTCACAAAACCATCCTTGTCCTTGACATGACCAAGACATCCATATCCTGTATGAAAAGGATTTTAATTTTATGCCAGCAATAAAAATTGATCACTGGAAAATTTATAATTTGAGACCCCATAATAATCAGGCTCATTATTTTCCAGTGCCAGCACTCTGCAGGTGTTCTGAGAGATGGCACAGACACAAACCATTACTTCTTTTCCGAAACAAGAAGCTCCTCTCAGCCTCTCCATCAGCCTCTGGCCCCCCTGCTCCTCTCTATTGCAAGTCACGGGTCAGTAGGGTTCTCTAGCTACAGAGATGGAAGAAGCCCTACTCTACGTCACCACTTTTTCATTTGGTCCATTTGGTGCTGCTGCAGACATATTTCTAATGGGAAAAATAAAGATGGCCTGAGGACAGACACTATCAGTAATTGAAAATTTCTTCAGATTTGTATAAGGAGATATGAAATCTAACATTTGAGAGCAAAGGTGAGCCAACTGATGGGTGCTGCCCAGATCTGACTTCAGGGAATTAAGACCTGCTCTTTTTTTTTTTTGAGGCTGAAATTTTTATCGTCTGGTAAAATTCATCTGGTAGAATCACTACTCATAAAATCTTCAATGCTTCTCCAGGTACTTGGATTCAAAAGAAATGTTGGGATAGTTCTTATGAACAGTTGTTTCTACAATTAAAATAGTTTTCTTAACAGAATTAGCTTGCAACTACTTATATAAGCTAGATACATAAAATGGCAACTTCCTACACATAGTGTACAAATGCCCTGAAGTACCAGCATCGAGCAAACAAAACTGATTCAAATTAATGAGGGGAAGGCTTGTATTTTTAATACGCACAACTAATTCCTGAGGGCTTGATCAAATAAACCACAGTGACCGAGATGAGGGACAGACATAACTGAAATGAGGAGGAGATTGTGACGCTCTGGCTTTCAGTATGATTTAAGATACAGGTATTCAGAGACTTAACAGCCTGTTAAGTCAGTCACTGTTTTGGCCCCTTTCTGACATAGTCATTGTTGCAAATGCACTTTCAAATTTCTATGATGTAAAATGTTTCCTGGGTCTGCTGGATGTCTGATGGAAAAGATAGCAGGCCAAACTCCCTTGAAATTCATGGCATAGGGGTTCCCAAGGTTTTCAAACTAACAAAACATCAACAGTTCTTGCTACTAGTATCATCATATGTCAGGAATGAAATGTTTGAAATAACATGTAATGTAGCTCTGTAGACTTCTCAAGGCCATGGCAACCACTTGCCTACCTCTTGTTAAATGTGCTGTGATTTTCCTAGGAACATACATTAAAGATGAGAAAAGATGAAAATACGTAAAATTTAGTCTCTCCAGCCATAATACAAGTAGATGTAGTTGGCATGTAGCTGGCAAACGTAGTTGCTAAGCTGCTCTCCCTATTTGAAAAGTCATGGCGGTCAGGCAGTCAGGTCCCCAGTGACTGGAAAAAGGGAAAAAGGGTAGAAAGGAGGACTCTGGGATCTACTGAGCAATCAGCCTCACCTCTGTGCCCAGTAAGATCATGGAACAGATCCTCCTGGAAGCTATGTCAAGGCATGTGGATGGCAGGGTGGTGATTAGAGACAGCCAACATGGCTTCACAAAGGGCAAATCGTGCCTGACTATCTGGAGGCCCCTATGATGGGCCATGAAAATGATCAGAGGGCTGGAATGGCTGTCCTATGAGGAAAGGCTGAGACAGTTGGGGTTGTTCAGCCGGGAGAAGGGAAGGCTCCGGGGAGACCTTATTGTGGCCTTTCAATATTTCGAGGGGGCTTATAAGAAAGACAGAGAGAGACTTTTTGCCAGGGGCAACGGTTTTAAACTAAAAAAGGGTAGATTTAGATTGGACATAAGGAAGAAATTCTTTACAATGAGGGTGGTGAGACACTGGAAGAGGTTGCCCAGAAAAGTCGCGGATGCCCCATCATTGAAGTGCTCAAGGCCAGGCTGGCTGGGGCTTTAAGCAACCTGATCTAGCGGAAGATGTCCTTGCCCATGGCACGGCTTGGAACTAGATGATCTTTAACGGTCCCTTCCTGCCCAAACCATTCTGTGATTCCATGATTGTATACGCCTGCAGGCTAATTATTCTCTGGCCAGGAAGACCCAGGACTGGGATTTCCAAAACTACATTCATCGCTAGAGGAGCATGGGAGGAGAAGAAAGCCATCCTTTTATCAATTCACCTTCTAGCATGAAAACTGCACTGCTGTCAGATCTGTGGAGATTATTCTTCCTCTTCCTGGTGAACTGATATGGCAAAGGAATGACACAGAAATGAATCTGTTATTTTTATAGAGAACTGCAGTGACGTTAATAAATCTTGTGTTCAAAACAGTATTGCCAGGGTGAGCACCTGAGGCCAGACAGCTCCCCAAATTTCCAGAGCAACAACAGAGATGGCATTTCAGAGGCTGACAATGTCAATGACACAATAGGGGGCTAAGTTGTTTCTAGGTGTAATAGGGATCAAGATACTGGACCTTAAAATGTTCCCATCATCTTCCTTCACATTATGATTTCAGCAGTTAAAAATTAAAGAAATGACTGCATTATACCCTATGAAAACCAGAATGTCAGGCTTCCAGATGGTATGAAGCACTCACTTCTCAATTCAGCTGTTCCTGAAACAACAGCCACTAAAACCATGTCACAACTGAAGTGAACGAAATGGTTGTAAGTGAAAAAAGGTGACTTTCAAAGCTTGTGTTCACCCACAGTGCTAATTCTTTTTCCTTGCTGTTACTGCTCTCTTCAATGTCTGGGAACAATGACCAGAAAGGAGTAATACCAGTAGCAGAGAATGAAGATTGGTTGGACTCAATGGTCTTAAGAGGTCTTTTCCAACCTTAATGATTCTAAGATCTGCGGCTGCCCTCTCACTGAGACTTTCCCCTTTTTGCTTCTTTAAAATAAAAAGGCCACTCACTACACAGAGATGTCTGGTGGTGCTGGAAGCAGAGCGCCAGCAGGGCTAGAGCACTGCTTATGATATGGTGGAGTACATATTCTAGCTTGAAGCTCTACAGGGTCACAGCTCAGCTGCAAGAAAATGCAACTGTATCAAAACAAATCACAGTTGGGGATGGGGGAAAAACCACATCATGCTCTCATCACAATAAAAGCTATTTTGATCCACTTTCAAAACAATACATCAATCTCACCTGCAACTCTCATCACACAATGAACAGAACCAAATATATTGAACAAACCAGTCTCTCTCTCTCTCTGTTCAGCCCTTGCCAAAGTAACACCTCATCAGTCCTTTTCTATAGTGTCTGAAAGGATGTAGATTTTCTTTCACGATTTAGGGCCTGATCAGCTGGAGGCAGTCTGCAGCTGTAAGAACAAGGCCTCCTCCCAGCATGGGGATGATACAGAAAAGGCTCTAAGTATAAGTACGGAGACAATTTTGATCCAAACAGAGAACTGAGGAGACAGAGAGAGCAAGAGGTATGCACACAGGCCTCTCTCTGCACATGAGACAGGGCAAGAGGCACAAAGGCAGCCTCGCTTGTCGTTCAGGGCTGCAGGGACAGTAGGGACATGGCTGCCTTCCAGCGCAGAATGGAGGGCACTGGAAAGCAGGGTGCCAAAGAGAACCCTGGCCTCATTTTCCTGGCAGACTCCCAGAGCCTCTGAGAGCTAGTGGTGTTCATGGGAGTCTGTCTCTTATGAAAGCCTCTGCTCCCCCGATGAAACAAACAATTGAAACAAAGAATCCGTGGCTGGTGGCTGCGAAGGGTCACGGAGGCCTGTCTTGCTTGTTGCTCTGTATCTTTTCCACCGCAGTCACCTCACGGTATCCAGCCCATCGACATGACATGTCCACAACAACTTCAAACCACGAGAGACATCCTTGTTGGGAAATCATTCTGAGAGGAAAGACAGAAGAGAAATGTCAACAGGAAAGCACCCATGGAATGGACAAAGAGACTGATGTAGCTTTGACAGAGACACAACCAAACAGCAACAGCTTTGTCCGCCCACACCCCTTTCCTCTCTCACACACGCCACTTAAGCTCAGGGCTAACAGCCAAGCTGCTCTAGTGACAAGGTCTCCCTCATAGAGCAGACTTCAGCCAGCTCCCCTTCCCCAACAACCATGAACTCATCAGTCCTCACTAGCCCGGCCTGTGGCAGGATGTTTTGCACTTGCTGGTATCCTGCGTGAGGAATGCCTTTGGCATGCATGGCCCCTACACATGCCCATGGGCATGCACCCACAGGAGTCCCTCATCTCACCTCTTTCAGAAACACCTGAGGTCTCGTACACCATGTCTTGCTACTAATCCTGGCCCAGTCCAGAAGAACAGAGCCTCTCAACCCTTCCTTAACAAGGAACAAGGCCAAAGCAATGCCCTGTAATTTCTGCAAGCCCTGGGTAAGTTCCCTTCCCTACCACGAGCCTCCTAAACCCTAGATAAACTCCCACTTCCTTGGATCACCAGGCCACAAATGCCAAAAACATCCCTTACCTCCCAAGTTCCAGGCACATCTGTCCCTCCCCACCATCATGGAGTCCTGTGCAGGAGCTATTTCCCTTTCTGGCCTCCTACAGCCAGTGACTGGCCTCTTCCCACAGTGACTCCCCTTACCTGGCATTCCCCACACTCAGACTCCAGGCTCTACCTTCCTGGAGAGCCCCCCTGCCCCTAAACTCTGGTTAGTAACCCCTGCCTGGTGGTTCCCCGCTCAGCCTATCTGGATCAGGAACACCAGACATGGCCTCACTGTTTTCTTGGGGTCCTTTTTCCTCTTCTTGTCAGAGGTGTTGAGGTAGGCCTGCTCCCTGGCCCTGTATGAAGGGCCCCGGCTCAGCTCCCTCTCGCTATACGGGGGCAGGGTGTCCTCCCCTTCCTCCTGCTGAGGCGGTGGTGGCGGCTGCTGCGGCTGCTGCTGCGACTTCTCGGCTTTGTAGGTAGAGGGTGGTGACCAGGCATAATACGTTCCCCCTCCTCTCTGGCTGGGCTGCGAGCTCAGCTTTGAGGGGGTTTCACTGCGGTCACCGCTCTCATCATAGCTCCGGGATTTCCTCTCCAAGACGCTGCTGAGGTAGGAATGATCGTATTTCTGGCTCCCTCCAGGTGTCCGGCTCACCAGCCTGGGCAGGTGCTTCTCCTCATGGGCTCGTCTCCGGGGTGGGCTGTATGACCAGCCCCGATCCGAGTCCGTCAGCGGCTCTCGGTTCCCTCTGCTACGCTTGGTGTAGTACTCCTCCATGGAGCTATCCTGGTGGGGCAGCCCTCCACCGCGGCCGCCGTGCGACTCTGACCGCTCGAAACGCCGAGTTTCCTGGCTGTCTGCCCGCCGGGTCCGCTGGCTGTAGGACTCTGCAAAGGCTGCCAGCTCGTCCATAGAGACAGCCGGCACTCCCACAGAGAAACTCTTACGGGACAACATCTCGGACTTGGATCTCTGCTGGCTGGAGGATGGAAGAGATAGTGTTAGAGGGCGGATTCAGCTGCGCTCATCCCCTCGGCTGCC